AGCGTAGCCACTCGCCGTGGCGGTTGCCTGCGCTCGGTGACTCGTGGGAGCGCCGGATAACAGCCGATGGCCGGTTGCCGGCGGCCCGCGTGACGATGATACTATGGCGCGAAACGGCATCATCAAAACAAGCCGGCACCGGCTGGAGTTAACCATGGCATTCGCACGCCCCGAGTTCCTAGTATCGACGGATTGGCTGGCCGACCAGCTGAAAGGCAACGATAAAGGCAACGATGTACGGGTGTTCGAGACAACCGTCTTCCTGCACCGCGGCGACGGCGGAGTTCGCGCCGAGTCTGGACAAGCGCAATATGAAACGGGTCACATCCCCGGCGCTGGGTTCCTTGACCTGCAGGCCGACTTCTCCGATAACGACCAACCCTACCGCTTCATGATGCCCTCGGCTGAAGCGTTCGCCGAAGCGGCCGGACGACACGGCATCTCGGAGACCTCGAAGTTGGTCCTGTACGACCGCCTGGGGTCGCAGTGGGCGGCCAGGCTGTGGTGGATGTTCCGCTCGATGGGTTGCCAGGGCGCGGTGGTGCTGGACGGTGGCTGGCGCCGGTGGACGGCCGAGGGCCGTGCCGCGTCCACAGACCCGGCGACATACGCACCCGCGACCTTCAGGCCGACGCCCGACCCGGCACGCTTTGCCAATCTTGCCGAGGTGATGGCGTTCATCGAGACCGGCACTGGAGGCGGCAGCTGCCTGATCAACGCCCTGGGGCGGGATCAGCACTCGGGCGAGGACGGCGGGCAAGGCTACGGCCGCGCGGGGCACATCCCCGGCGCGAGCAACGTGCCCTCTGGTGAGTTGACCGATCCTGAAACCGGCCTCTTCCGGCCAGCAGAGGAGTTGGCGGGGCTCTTCGACGCGGCGGGCGCGGACCGCACGCAGCGCGTGGTCACCTACTGCGGCGGCGGCATCGCGGCGTCCAATGACGCCTTCATCCTGGCGATGCTGGGCTACGAGAACGTCGCGGTCTACGACGCCTCGATGTCGGAGTACGCCGCCGACCCGTCGCTGCCGCTGGTGGTCGCCTGAGCGCGGGGAGCGTATCCGCAATGCTCCGCCGGGCGAGACCGGGCTGCAACACGGTCTTTTGGGGCGAACGACCAATGGGGAGGTGAGCCATGACGCAGGCTGCCACGCTGAACGATACGCTGGAATTCGGGCTGTTCGACTGGATTGAATGGGACAAGTCGGCGCCCAGCGAGATCTTTGAAAACCGGCTCAAGATGCTGGAGTACGCCGACCGGAGCGGTTTCTATAGCTACCACCTGGCGGAACACCACATCACCCCGTTGAGTGTATCGCCCTCTCCGGCGGTGCCTGGCGGCCGCGGCGCAGCGGACGTCAAAGCTGCGCCTGGGGCCCCTGGTTTTCCTGCTGCCCTTCTACAACCCCATCCGCCTCTACCACGAAATTTGCATGCTGGACAACCTCAGCAACGGACGGCTGGACCTGGGTGTGGGCCGGGGCGTCTCGCCGGTCGAGGCGGAGGAATTCGGCGTTGATCTGGACATCAGTTGGGAAGTGTTCAACGAGCACATGGACATGTTCACCGGCGGGTTCACCACGGGCGTGCTCAATCATCGGGGCAAGCACTACAACTACGAGGACATAGAGCTTTGGATCAAACCCTATCAGAAGCCCTATCCACCTCTCTGGTACGCCAGCAACAACATCGAAACCGTGCCGTGGATGGCCCAGCACGGTTTCAACACCTGCACCGTTTTGCCGACAATGCCGGCGCGAAAGCCCACTATGATATGTACAAGCAAGTCTGGAACGCGGAGCGCATGTCCGACGGGCTGAACAGCCACGTGAGCGTTCCCAAGCTGGGGCTCGTCCGTCACATGTACATCGCCGACACCGACGAACGGGCCATGGCGGAGGCCAAACCGGCGTATCAGACCTGGTTCCACAACATCGATTACCTGTGGGCCAAGGCTGGCCTGGACCGCCTGGGCGCCATGAGGGATTTCGACGCGCTGGAAGCAAAAGACATCGTGATCGTGGGTTCGCCATCGAGTGTCAGGGAGCGGGTTCAGCAGGCAATTGACGAGACTGGCATCAACTACTTCTGCCCCATTTTCGCCTGGGGCGACCTGACCCCCGACCAGGTCATGCACTCGATGGAGCTGTTCGTCGATGAGGTCATGCCCAACCTGAGGCCCGGCATCTAACGGCCCGCCCCAACCGAACAGATTCACCCTTATCAGTCCTCCAACCGCGCCAGTCGAATACAGGAGACGCGACAATGTCCTCGGCCACCCCCTACTCGCCGGCCACCGCGGGATCGATCAGCAGGACCATCGCAGCCCTGGCCGCCCGCAACGTGGACGCCATCCTGGTGGAGAGTCGGGAAGCGGCTTTAGCCAAGCTGCGCGAATGGGTTCCGGAGGGCGCCGAGGTCTTCGTGAGCACGTCGGAGACGCTGGACACCATTGGCTACACGGAATACATGCACGGCAACGACCGCTACAACAACCTGCACGACCGGATGTTGGCCCAGCCCGACGCGGCATCGCAGCGGGAGTACCGCCGCAAGACCACCACCGCCGACCACTTCGTGGGCAGCGTGCAGGCCATCGCCGAGACCGGCGAGATCGTCGTCGCCAGCGGCTCCGGCAGCCAGATCGGAGCCTATTCCTACGGCGCCCGGCGCGTCATCCTCGTGGCCGGCACGCAGAAGATCTGCGCCACCCTCGCCGAAGCCGAGGCCCGCACCCGCGGCTTCACCCTGGAGCGCCACGACCGGTGGCTTGAGGGCCGGGGCTCCGCTCGCGCACCCATCGGCAAATTCCTGGTGATGGAACACGAGCCGATGGTCGGCCGCATCTCCATGATCCTCATTCCCGAAAGTCTCGGTTGGTAGATGGCTTCATGGTCGTAAATGGTTGCCCCGTCATCGAACGCGAAGGCGCCGAGGGGCGCACAGTGTGCGCCTGGGCGCGTTTCAGTATTACCACCGGACATCCGCGGTCAGTCGAACAAGATGGGCTCTCCGTTCAGCGTCGACCTGTCCTCAAAGGGAGTGGGATTGGCGACCGCGGCCCGCACCCAACACCCGTCGCGGGCGTTCCGCAGCACCGCCGCTACCCGTTCCCGGTCGTCGGGGGACTCAATCTCGTAGCTGGTTTCCACCTTCGGAGCGCTGGCCTGGATGGTGCCCGCCAGCACCGAACCCTCCAGCCCAAAGTGCACGGCCACGTGAGCCTTGACGCTGCTGATGTCCACCTTCATCAATCGAGAGTACCTCTCGATCTGGGTCATCTCTCAAAATGCAATCGAGGCGGCAAAGTAGTGCAGCGGCGCCGGTGCGGTGCTGTTGCCGCCTATGGTGGGCGGTTCGTCGCAGTCGATGGTGAACTTGACGTTCGTGCCCACGAAGGCCCGCCGCAGCATGTTACCCAGGTCTTCCACGTCCACCTCGGTGACCGTGGATCGGCGATTCTGTCCGGGTGGAAACGGATCGAAATTCGGTTCCGGTCTTTCGCTATCTTGTGGCATGGGACCTCCGCGTTTCAGGAATGGCCCAACGCTATCACGGAGCAACCGGCAACACAACGAACCCCCGAGGCAGAGGGAGGTGATTGAGGTAGTAAGGCAAATCTACCTGCCGATTAGTCCTGCACGTGGAGGAATTAGAGACCTTCCCGACGCAAACGGTACAATGCCACACAATGCCGCCAAGTTGAAACCAACCGGCGGCGGATGAGAGTTCGGAACGTACACGAAACATCGCAAGGGGGAAGAGTAATGCCAGAGAAGCAACGCATGACCACCAGGCTCAAGGAACTTTTCGAGCGCCCGGAGATTTTCGTGCTGGCCGGCGGGATGAACCCCATGGGCGCGAAGATGGCCGAGGTACTGGGATTCGAGGCCTTTTACATGTCCGGGGGGAATACCTCGGCCCAGCTCATGGGTTTGACCGAGGGCGGCACCAGCATGCGGGACATGGTGGACAACGCCAGGCGCATCGTGAACACCATCGACATTCCCGCCTTCGTTGACATGGATACCGGCTATGGAGACGCGATCCAGGTTTATGAGACAGTGAAGGAGTACATTCGGGCCGGTATCGCCGGCACCCACCTGGAGGATCAGACCTACCCGCCCAAATCAGGTCCCCGTCGCCGCTGTGTTTCCATCGAAGAGATGGTGGGCAAACTGCGCGCCGCCATGGACGCCAAAATGGAACTTGACCCTGACTTCGTCATCGTGGCCCGGTGCGACTACGCCGGCGTCCCTGGCGCAACGTTCGAGGACGTGATGGAACGCTGCCTGGCGTACAAGAGCCAAACCAACGTGGACGTAGTGTGCCCGGCCGTCGCGTCCTGGGAGGACAATCAGGAAGCCATCCGGCGGATCCCGGGTCCGGTGCTGCCGCTATTCACCCACGGCAGCCAAACGCATCCCACCCTGGAAGAGTTGCAGCAAGCCGGGGCCGCCGCCGCCTGGTATCCCGGCCTGACCACCATGGCGGGGCTTCAGGCGTCCTGGGACTTTCTGAGCGATTTCCAGGATCGCGGCACCCCCGCCATCGACGATTTTCTGGCGACTGCGGCCCAGAGCAGGTGGGGCATCGCCAGCAACGGCGGCATTCTGGGTGCCGAGCGAATTCGGGAGATGGAGGACAAGTACCTGCCATAAAGACACGATGACGGACCCGACCACGCCGCAGACCTGAAATTAGCCCGTATACCTCGCAGGATGAGGCGGGTTCCGGAGCCGCCGGGTCGGAGCCGGCTCCGCACGCAATACCGGGTACAATCTCATGCGTACTCACTTTGTCATCGCGAGGAGCGCAGCGACGTGGTGATCTCGTTGAATTGAGCGGGGATCCCTCCGGCGACGAGATTGCCACGCTGCGCTCGCAATGACCGAAGGGTCACTCACAATGACAGAGGGGTCGCTCGCAATGACCGATTGTGCAAAGTGGGTGCGCGTGAGCGGGTACAATGGCGCGAATCGACGCAGGGAGCTTTCCCCATGAAATACGACCACATAGTTGTCGGAGGCGGCACCGCCGGGTGCATCGTGGCGACACGCCTTTCCGATGATCCGACGCGATCAGTGCTGCTGTTGGAAGCCGGCCCCGACTTCCCCGACTTCGCTCAATTGCCGGACATGCTCAAGCTGGGCTGGGGCACGGTGAACCTGGAGGCCCGGGCCGCCGGTTCACCCTACAACTGGTCCTTTACCGGCACAGCCACACAGGAACAGGCGCCCATGCCGGTGCCCCGAGGCAAGGTGCTGGGCGGTTCCAGCGCGATCAACGGCCAGACCTTCATCCGGGGCGCGCCCGAGGACTTCGACACCTGGGCTTCCTGGGGCAACGACGGCTGGGGCTACCTGGACTGTCTGCCCTACTTCCGCCGGCTGGAGAACGACGCCGACTTTCACGACGACTTCCATGGCACTGACGGGCCGGTTCCGGTGCGGCATCACCCGCGCGAGACCTGGCCGGTGGTGCAGGAAGCCTTTTTCCAGGCCGCCACTGCGGCCGGATACCCCTACAATCCGGACGTCAACCACCCGGAGGCCACGGGAATCAGCCAGCGGGCGGAGAACAACATCGAGGGCGTGCGCATGAGCATGGCCCTGGCGTACATCAACCCGGTGCGGCACCGGCTGAACCTCACCATCCGCCCGAACGTCCAGGCGCGGCGCGTGGCGCTGGAAGAGGGTACCGATGGAAAGCGAGCCGTCGGCGTCGAGGTGGAGAGCGGCGGTGATCGCTTCGTCGTCGAGGGCGACGATATCATCCTGTGCGCGGGGGCGGTGGCCTCACCGCAATTGCTGATGCTGTCCGGCATCGGCCCCGCCGGACAGTTGGCGGCGCAGGGAATCCCGGTCGCCGTGGAACTACCCGGCGTGGGCCAGAACATGCGCGATCACACCAACGTGTCCGTGCGTTTCAGCGTCAAGGAGGGCACGCCCGAAGACCCCGACGCCATGCGGGCGGTGCGCCTGCGCTATACCGCCACCGGTTCTTCCACGCCCCACGACATGATCATCTCGCGGCTTCGCTCAATACGGTGGTGCGGGCCGGCGAAAACCCCACGCACACCGTCAATGCGGCCTGTACCTGGCGGCAGGAAAGGGCGAGTTGCGGCTGGAGTCGGACGACCCGCAAAACTGCGCCCAGCATGGACTATCGCTACTGGAAGAAGACTGGGACCGGGAACGGTTGCGGGAGTGCGTCCGACGGTGCGTGTCGCTGCTGCAGCACAGCGCCTACGACCGCTTCATCCAGGAAATAACCGCTCCCTACGCCGGCAGACCTGGAGAGCGACGACGCTCTGACCTCTGGCTGACGGCGCAACATCAGCACCTCGTACCACATTTCCGGGCTACCTGCAAGATGGGGCCGGAGAACGACCCGATGGCGGTCGTTGACCCTCAGTTGCGAGTGCGCGGAGTATCCAACCTCCGCGTTGCGATGCTTCGGTGATGCCCGACGTGGGTCCGCGCCAACAACGAACGTCACCACGATGATGATCGCGGAGCGCGTGTCCGACTTCATCAAGGCGGGGAAGTAAGCGGTGGCGAGTTAAGCGCGGAAATCAGGTCTTCGTTGGACACCGACGATGTAGCTACCCATAACAGGGCCCAGGACGCTGCGATATTCGTCCAGTGCTGGTCGATGTCGCAGCCATCCTCGTCCTTGACCTCCACCTCGAGGATCTGGCCCACCCCTTCGACGTTATCCAGATTGAAGATGACGTTGTCTTTCCGCCACAGTTCACGTTGCTTGCGGACGACGGCCCTGGCGCCGAGCGCGGCTTCCAGCACTTCCCCTATGCCCAGGTCGTCAACTGACCACAGCTGAAACCGGCTGGTCCGCGCCCCGGCTTCCTGGTGCTCGCGGTAGTGAATGAGCGTGCCCGTTCCCTTTTCGACGCGGAGTTTGAGACGCCGCGTTCCCGCGGAAATGTCTCCCGTGGAAACGTCTCCCGCGGGCAGGTGGTAATAGTAGTCGACCTGCTCGCTGATCTCGACGAACAACGCTTCCCGTGCTCGGAGGATCTCGCGGACAGCCGCGAATCTGCGCAGTATGCCTTGAGTTCACGATTGAGATGAAACTGCATGTTTGGTCCTTCGGTGAGATCGCGGCCGGGCCAATATGGCGCGCCGGCTGACGGGATCAGACCTGCCAGTCTACAGAGGCAGGTGGACGACCTGGCCAGTCATGGCGCTCCGCCCAACCGCTTCGGTCCACTCCATGTAGTGGACGCCGGTCTCGAAGGCCACCATGTCCACGATCTCGGCGCCGCGTATGGCGTTGGTGAACTGGTCCTCAACGCGATACTTGGCCTGGGTCTCCGGCGGGTTGGGCACCTCGGTCAACTCGGGGTCGCCGCGCTTGCCGGCCCACACCCGGCGCTGGGAGGTCCACGTGGATGGTGCCTTCCGTGCCGAACATCCAGATGTGATTGCCTCCGTTCAATCCAGAGGTGGCGCTCATCTGCATGTGGACCTGGGCGCCGTTGGGCAACTCGTAGAGTATGTCGATGTGGTCGGGGATCGTCACGGACGTGAGGTCGCCGCCGTCGTTTCTCGCGGTAGGGCACGTTGACCTTGCCCATGGCCATGACCCGGGTTCCGCGCCCCAGCCAGCGCATCATGGACTCGTAGGACGCCCCGATGTTCAGGGTGTTGTAGCCGCTGAGCGCGCGGTCATGCCGCCAGTGCAGGGGACCGTCGAAATCGGCGAAGTTGTTCTGGAGAGACGTGAAATCCACGGACAATAGCTCGCCCAGATGACCTTCATCAATCAGCCGTTTGATCACGTTGTCAATGGTGTAGCTGGTGGAGGTCGGCGTGAGCTGACAGACCAGGTGCGGGTGGGCGCGGGAGGCCGCCAGCATGTCCCGGGCTTCCGCGGCGTCATTGGCCATGCGCGCCTCGGTGAGCACATGCTTGCCCGCCTCCAGGGCGGCCAGGGTCATGGTGCGGTGCATGTACGGCCAGGTGCCGATGCAGACGGCGTTGATCTCGTCGTCTTCCAGCAACTCCCGCCAATGCCCGTACACCTTCGGAATATTGAACTGGTCCGCGACCACACGGCCGGATTGGACGCTCCGGTTGGCCACGGCCACGATCTCACAATCGTCCCACCCCAGAGAATCCGGGAATGTGCCGGTTGCGGACATTGCCGCCGGCGCCGATCAAACCCACCCTGATTGGTTCTTCAGCCATTGTTTCCTTCCTCCGTTATCGGTCATGTGGTGCCGGTGTTTGCCAGGGGCAGCAGTGGCTCAGGAGCAGCAGTGACCCGCGTGGGACAACGGGCGCGAGGTCTGCGCGGCGGTCGGCGGTCGAGCTCGTTGGAGCCTTCGCAAGTCAGACGGTTCCACGGCGATATGGCTGACCCATAAATTCTGCGCATTTCCTGTCCGGTTGGAGTTTATAATACCCGCGAAAACGGCCAGGAGCAGACGAATATGGCAAATTTGACCAACACGCACCGGATTGGCGCCCTGGTTCCCGCCACCAACCCGGTGGTCGAACCCGACTTCTACCGGGTGGTGCCACCGGACATCACCGTGCATTTCGAGCGCATGTGGAACGGAACCTGGGGAAGCCAGCCGGAAATTTCCACTGAGACGGGACACCGTCTCAGCATGACCAGCGCGGAGGCTAACGAAGTCGAAACGGCGCTGTTCGGGTTCGACATCGGCAAGATGAACGACGACGTGGCCCGTGGCGCCAGCGCTTTGTCCAACATCGGTCCCGACGTTTTAGCCTACGCCTGCACCTCCGGCACGTGGCACAAGGGCTACATGGCCTACGACCGGATGATAGCGGGAATAATGGAGGAGGCCAGCGGCGTCCAGTCAATAACCGCAGTGGGTTCCTGCATCGCCGCCATGCAGCACATGGGCAGCCGCAAGCTGAGCATCGCCGGGCCGTACCGCAACTACCACCTGCGCAACCGGCTGAAGCCGCTGATGGAAGAGGCCGGTTTCGAGGTGCTGAGCGCCGACGGCGAGCCGTGGTTGCAGGACTCCATGAACCCCCGCGAGATCGACGCAGAGCCGCCGCAGACCATCATCGACTTCGTACCCACGGTGGCCCAGCAGGAAGCCGACACTATTTTTCTGCCCGGCACCGCCTGGCGCGCGCTGGACGCGGTTGAAGAACTCGAACAGAAGCTGGGCAAGACGGTCATCTCGGTCAACCAGGCCACCATCTGGATGGCTCTCAGACGGGTGGGCTGGACGAAGCCGATAGACGGCTACGGCAGCCTGCTGCGAAACCTGGCATAGCCGGCCAGCCGGCGTATCAACCAAGACGGCAAGGGAGGTTTGGAATGGTTATCAGCAAGCAGAGCATTACCTATGAAGTCGACATTGAGGACGTGGAATATCTCCGCCACGGCGAAACGCCCTTGTTGGCGAGGCTGTTCAAACCCCGCGGCAGCGGGCCTTTCCCGATAATGGTGGAGCTGCACGGCGGCGCGTGGGTTCGAGGGGACCGTCTGATCGGCAACGCGGCCAACGAAGCGTTGGCCAGGAACGGCGTGATCGTCGTCGCCCTGGACTTCCGGGCGCCGCCGGTGGCATCGTACCCCGCCTCCTTCGCTGATATTCACTACGCGATTCGCTGGTGCAAGAGCCAGGCCGAATCCTGGAACGGCATCCCCGACAGCATCGGGGCGATGGGCACCTCCAGCGGCGCGCACCAGGCCATGTTGCTGGGCATGCGGCCGCGCGATGAACGCTACGCGTCGCTGCCGGCGTCGAACGGCGCCAGCGAAGTGGACGGGACCCTTGGCTGCGTGATCATGGTCTCTCCGGTGATTGACCCGCTGGGACGCTATCGATACGCCAAGGGTCTTCGGGACGATTGCACGCCACCGGCCGGCATGGCCGACAGAGTCGGACCGATGCATGACCTGTACTGGGTGACCGAGGAAGCGATGGCTGAGGCCGCGCCCGCCCGCATCCTCGCGGGCGGCGAACGCACCGAACTGCCGCCCACGCTGTGCCTGGCGCGCTCCTACGAGGAAGCGCACCCGCGACCGGACCTGGACCAGTTCATTGCGCAGTACCGCAAGGCCGGCGGACAGATCGACGTGACGATTTTCGAAGGGGAGGGCGAGCGCATTTTGCAGGATGTTTCGGCGCCGGTTGCGCAGCAGGCCTGGAGCGTATGACCGCCTTTATCCGACAGCACCTCGGATAGGCCCGACGCTACATCTCTACGGGCGCACAAGTTTACCGGAGCACCAACGGCGGCCCGTCTGATCGGGTCGCCGTTTTCACTTCCAATATGGTGCAGACCCAGCAAACCTCAGTTGTCCATGCTCCGATCTGGCGCCGGCGGTTGTTGCAGCGGAGTGACTGCCTCCCCAGTGCTATACTCGCTCCCAGAGCATCCATATCGTTGAAATACGATGCAGGATCGCGGATCAGTAACGTAATGAGGTGAAATCATGTCACGAGTTACAATGATTCAGCACATCAATATCCAGATCAGTGACCAGGATCGAACCCGTGACTGGTACGAGAAAGTGCTGGGCGCGGAGTTCCTGGACCGAGGGCCGGAACTCAACCAGCGCCAACTCCAGTTGCGCATCGGCAGCGGGGAAATCCACAGCACCTACACCCCAAATCCCAACCCGTCGGGGCACTTTGCCTTGGAGATCCACGATTGGGATGAAATGATCGCCAACCTGGACGCGCAGGGCGTTCCCTATTCATCGCCAAGCGTCCGGAGTACAGCGGCGGCCACTCCACATACATCAATGACCCGGACGGGAACATGATCGAGTTGGTGCAACACCCGCTGGGATTGCGGGACTCCACGGGCGAAACCGTGGAAGTCGCGCACGACCCCAACGGAATGGTATGGGCCCGGCGGACCGGGTACGGTCCCGCCACCGGGTGAGACCAGCGCAAAACCGTGACCACCGCCTTTCAACCGCGAGGAAGACAATATGCCTTACTACATGTACGTTGCCGTACAGGGCGACAACAAGATTTCGGTCTTCACCATCGACCCCGATTCCGGTGGCCTGACACTGCAAACCGACGTACCCGTATCGGGCGGGCCGTTCACGATGGCAATCAGCCCCGACCGTAGATACCTCTACGTGGGATGCCGCGAGATCACCCAACTGGTTAGTTTCGAGATCGATCAAAGCAGCGGAGGGCTCACACAGAATGGCTCCGTGCCGCTGGACGCCTGGCCGGTGTACGTGGCTACGGACCGGAAGGGCAGGTTCGTGCTGTCATCCTACTACCAGGGCGCCCGCGTGGCGGTGCATCCCATCGGCGATGACGGCTCGGTGGGAGGCGACGCGGTGGAATGGCTGGAGACGGCCACCGGCGCCCACGCCATGCAGACCGACCCGACCAACGCCTACGCGTTCGTGCCGCACATCGCGGGCAACGGCCCCAACTCGATCTGGCAGTTCCGGTTCGACGAGAACACCGGTCACATCAC